GGTGTGTGTGTGGGTGGTGGTGTGTGTGTGGGTGGTGGTGTGTGTGTGGGTGGTGGTGGTGTGTGGGTGGTGGTGGTGTGTGTGTGGGTGGTGGTGTGTGTGGGTGGTGGTGGTGTGTGGGTGGTGGTGTGTGTGTGGGTGGTGGTGTGTGTGTGGGTGGTGGTGGTGTGTGGGTGGTGGTGTGTGTGTGGGTGGTGGTGTGTGTGGGTGGTGGTGTGTGTGTGTGGTGGTGTGTGTGGGTGGTGGTGGTGTGTGTGGGTGGTGGTGTGTGTGGGTGGTGGTGGTGTGTGTGGGTGGTGGTGGTGTGTGTGGGTGGTGGTGGTGTGTGTGGGTGGTGGTGGTGTGTGTGGGTGGTGGTGGTGTGTGTGGGTGGTGGTGGTGTGTGTGGGTGGTGGTGGTGTGTGTGGGTGGTGGTGGTGTGTGTGGGTGGTGGTGGTGTGTGTGGGTGGTGGTGGTGTGTGTGGGTGGTGGTGGTGTGTGTGGGTGGTGGTGTGTGTGGGTGGTGGTGTGTGTGGGTGGTGGTGGTGTGTGTGGGTGGTGGTGGTGTGTGTGGGTGGTGGTGTGTGTGGGTGGTGGTGGTGTGTGTGGGTGGTGGTGTGTGTGGTGGTGGTGTGTGTGGGTGGTGGTGTGTGTGGGTGGTGGTGTGTGTGGGTGGTGGTGTGTGTGGGTGGTGGTGTGTGTGTGTGGTGGTGTGTGTGTGTGTGTGTGTGTGTGGGGTGTGTGTGTGTGGGTGGTGGTGTGTGTGTGTGGGTGGTGGTGTGTGTGAGTGGTCGTGTATGTGGGTGGGTGGTGGTGTGTGTGGGTGGTGGTGTATGTGGGTGGTGGTGTGTGTGGGTGGTGGTGTGTGTGGGTGGTCGTGTATGCATGTACTCACCTACTTGTGCTTGCAGGAGTTGAGCTTTGGTCCCGCCTCTCAACTGACAATTGTTAGGCGGGCCAAAGAGCCAGAGCTCAACCCCACAAGCTCAACTAGGTGAGTACATACACAGGTGAAGGGGCCTTGTGGCTGAGTTGACAGCGCTCGGGAGTCGTAGTCCCTAGGGCCCTGCTTGATGGGGTTCTGAGAGTTCTACTCCCCAAGCCCGGCCCGAGGCCAGGCTTGACTTGTGAGAGTTTGGTCCACCAGGCTGTTGCTTGGAGCGGCCCGCAGGCCCACATACCCACCACAGCCCGGTTGGTCCGGCACTCCTTGGAGGAAACTATCTAGTTTCCTCTTCTAGATGTCCACGGTTGTTCCGGCAATATTTCTTATGCTCGCTGGGAGGACGTTGAACAACCGCGGACCTCTGATGTTTATACAGTGTTCTCTGATTGTGCCTATGGCACCTCTGCTCTTCATTGGTTCTATTCTGCATTTTCTTCCATATCGTTCACTCCAGTACGTTGTTATTTTACTGTGTAGATTTAGATTTGGGACCTGGCCCTCCAGTATTTTCCCATGTGTATATTATTTGGTATCTCTCACGTCTCCTTTCTAGTGAGTAAATTTGGAGAGCTTTGAGACGATCCCAATAATTTAGGTGCTTTATCGCGTCTATGCGTGCCGTATATGTTCTCTGTATTCCCTCTATTTCAGCAATCTCTCCTGCTCTGATGGGGGAAGTGAGCACTGAGCAGTACTCAAGACGGGACAACACAAGTGACTTGAAGAGTACAAGCATTGTGATGGGATCCCTGGATTTGCAAGTTCTCGTAATCCATCCGATCATTTTTCTGGCTGACGCAATATTTGCTTGGTCATGCTCCCTAAACGTTAGGTCGTCAGACATCATTATTCCCATATCCTTGACATGCTGTTTTCATACTATGGGCAGATTTGATTGTGTTTTGTACCCTGTATTATGTTTCAGATCCTCATTTTTGCCGTACCTGAGTACCTGAAATTTATCACTGTTAAACATCATGTTATTTTCTGCTGCCCAATCGAAAACTTTGTTGACATCTGCTTGTAGTTTTTCAAAGTCTTCACCAGAGGTAATTTTCATGTTGATTTTTGTGTCATCTGCGAAGGATGACACAAAGAACCCAGATGCCCGGGTTCGAATGCCGGCCAAAGAGGAAACAAATGGGCATTGTTTCACTCTGATGCTCCTGTTCACCTAGCAGTAAATATATGTACCTGGCAGTTAGGCAGCTGCTACGGCCTACTTCCTGGAGATGTGAGTGTGTGTTAGAGAGAAATGTATTTAGTAGATATAATAGAATAACAATAGATTGGTTATAATGGCGGGAACCAAGAGGTAATAGCTCAATTCGGCTGACACAAAGAGTAAATACAAATAGTAAATACACACACTGTGTATGGAGTCAGCCTCCACCACATCACTGCCTAATGCATTCCATCTGTTAACTACTCTGGCACTGAAAAAGTTCCTTCTAACGTCCCTGTGGCTCATGTGGGTACTCAATTTCCACCTGTGTCCCCTTGTTCGCTTACCACCAGTGTTAAACAGTATCTTTATCTACCCTGTCAATTCCTCCGAGAATTTTGTAGGTTGTGATCATGTCTCCTCTTACTCTTCTGTCTTGCACCTCACGACACTGGAAGACAGAAGAGTAAGAGGAGACATGAACAAATCCACAAGGGCCGTGACGAGCATTCGAACCTGCGTCCGAGAGCATCCCAGACACTGCCTTAATCGACTGAGCTACGACATGGTTAAAAAGAGAGTTGAAACCCAAGTTCTACTGAACTTACTGGAGCCCGCAGCCTCTCCGAGGCACAAACCAGGATTTTACACAATCCTGGTTTGTGCAGGATTGCACAGCTCGGGTGCAGGGGGGAGTTGTAGTGCAGGGGGGGGGGGGGAATGCAGCTGTAATGCAGAATATAATGTAATGCAGCTAGGTGTGGGGAGCAGGCCAGACACAGGGTACCAAATGGGAGACGAAGTCCTCCGTGACACACAGAAGGATCTAGGAGCTGATATCACGCCGAACCTGTCAACTAAAGTCCTCATAAAAAAGGATATCATCAGCGGCGTATGCGAGGCTGGCTGACATCAGAACTGCCTTCAGAAACCTGTGTAAGGAATCATTTAGAACCTTGTATACCACATATGTCAGACCAATCCTGAAATGTGTGGCTCCAGCATGGAGGCCATGCTGGAGCATAAGTCGAGCATAAAACGAAGGTGGAGAAATTTCACAGGTATGCTGTGAAAGGGAGTATTTCAGGGAGCCGGTGGCTGAGCGGACAGAACACTGGACGCGTGATCCTGTGGTCTCGGGTTCGATCCCGGGCGCCGGCGAGAAACGATGGGCAGAGTTTCTTTCACTCTGATGCCCCTGTTACCTAGCAGTAAACAGGTACCTGGGTGTTAGTCAGCTATCACGGGCTGCTTCCTGGGGGTGGTGGCCTGGTCGAGGACCGGGCCGCGTGGACACTAAAAAAGCCTCGAAATCATCTCAAGATAACCTCAAGATATGCTACAAGACTAGTTCCAGAACTACGAGGTATGAGTTGTGAAGAAGGGCTGCGGGAGGTGCAGGTCTCGTCGCTCCTCCAGACCCTCACGGCGTCCTCTGGTGGGTCAGGTTAAGGACACGTTAGTACGACAGTTTCTTGACGTTGAGAGACCTTAGGAGGACGGACTGCTCCTTCAGCTGCGTCTTGCCAACAGCTCCTCCCCGCCCGGGTGAGCCTTGCTTCACGATTTGAGTTTTTCCAGTTGAAAAAAACTAATTCTAAATTATAACATTTCTAATAGAGAATTATGTAAGTTGACCAGACCACACACTAGAAGGTGAAGAGACGACGATGTTTCGGTCCGTCCTGGACCATTCTCAAGTCGAGACGAGAGTTATGTATATTTTAGATGTTGGTATACCCGGTTGTATACATCAGTATATCATCAGCATAGTGAATAATATGTTGGTTATGCCTCCAAGGTACACAGCTCAGGTGCTCATTAACTCATTAAACCCATTGTTTAACCCATTAAACAGCGTAGGGTTAAGGTCACTTGCCTGTGAAGTACCTAGTTCAAAGTCTCGTATTACACTATGACCTTGGAACAGTATACAGATTACTTCCTGTTCGATAAGTAACTTCTTATCCAACGAAGAAATCACTTCCTGATAAGGAAAAAGTGGTGTGGTGAAGAATTAACATTTACATTAGTCTACCATTACCGTTTTCTTTGACAATTATTCAAAGAAATTTTAAAGTGTTAAAGGATAGACTTTTATATTTGTAATACTCTAATAATAATTTTGCATTTAAATGAATTTATTCATGTACTTGCATGAATGTTTAATTTTCGAGAACAATTAAGATATATAAGAACAATACAATCTTAATGGAGCAGGTGAACAGTGTTCCTCGTGAACAATCATGAACATATCCCGTCATGCAAATGGTCCAACCTGTCCTCACGCTTAACGCAACGTATTTTGACGTAAACGTCGCCCCAACGTCAAAATTAAGATGTACTAAAACTCACAGCAGCTCGATAAATTGACGTTGTGTCCCATTTTCTATTCGTGGGTATTTGGTTAGGTGTTACGGCCACTGAGGACCAGTACCCGGGTTCTTGATATAACCTTTTAGTGTAACCGACCCCAAGTCGGTAATAGGTTTTCAAGAACTGGCCGTATAGCGCAATAAAGATATAAAGGGGGAACAGTCTCGCTTCATGCAGGTCGGCGTTCAATACCCGACCGCCCAAGTGGTTGGGCACTATTTCCCCGTCCCATCCCAAAATCCTTATCCTGACCCCTTCCAAGTGCTATATAGTCTAATGGCTTGGCGCTTTCCCCCCTGGTAGTTCGCTTCCCTTCACCAATATATTCACCTTCACCATTAAAGAAATGTACATAAATAGATTATAACTACACTTATTTACAATTGCGTTTCTTTCACGCAGGACACAAATACACCAACAGCGTTCGTCAACTCCAGTGTTTCCACCGCTCCTTGACACTTGTCCAATACCTTGTCCACTGGCGAACACTAACGAGATCACCTACGTTGGCCAGTCCACCCACACAGTATCACGATGCGCCTACATCCAACCTTCGCTCTCCAGCTATTTGCTGGCGGAGGGCTTCAGCAACACGCTGACAAGGGTCCCAAACAAGCTCATACAGGGGTAGCTAACCCCGGCAGAAGCCTCTAACAGCTTGCTAGCAGTGCTTCACAATAAGCGCATCACTGTCTTCCGAAACCCTTATTCGCCAATCCTGGGTACGCCGATAGATACCAACACTGCGTATACCAGCAGCTATCACACTGCTTCGATCGACGGCGGCTACTTAGTCTTCTTTCAGGACCAAGCTAATGGTCCGTGGACTGCCCAAGGTAAACGGCCTCCCTCACCACAATTGCCTCCACACATCACTTCTGTGGACATAAAAACGTCAAGAATTAGACAGACAGGACACCTGGGAAACCATGGGGGGGGGGGGGGGGGTAACACTCGTTCACCGGAGAGTTGACATCTAGGTTGTAGCTTTGTAGCTACAACCTAGATGGCGCTGATCGTGACATGCCACCCACCAGAGGTCATCCACATCGACCTCTTTTTCCAACTAAGGCAGGAAACTGGAGCCATTTATCGCTGCCCCGCCACCACCAACAGATGGCGTTGTCCACATAGCGTCCAATACCCGGGAAGTTGGAGTGCAGACCCATAGATGGCGCCGAAATTGCCACGCTACACTCCGACGATGGTGTCGATACCGTAACATTAGGTTAGGGCAATTTAGTATACCATTTTAGTGACTTGCTGTGAACGCTCTGTTAAGACGGGCTGTTCATCGAGATGTATTCATTGAAATATATCGTGTGTGTGCTCTCACACACACTCCCTCACACACTCTCCCTCACACACACACACACTCCCTCACACACACTCTCCCTCACACTCTCCCTCACCCACACTCCCTCACACATCGTACCCTGTCAAGCACAAGACGAAGCTGGAAAGAGTTCAGAGGTATGCCACTAGACTGGCCCCAGACTAAGAGGCATGAGTTACGAGGAAAGGCTGTTAGAGCTGCACCTCACGACACTGGAAGACAGAAGAGTAAGGGGAGACATGAGCACCGCCTACAAAATTCTCAGAGGAATTAGCGGGGTAGATAAAGATAAACTGTTTAACACGGGTGGTAGGCGAACAAGGGGACACAGGTGGAGACTGAGTACCCACATGAGCCACAGGAAAGTTAGAAAGAACTTTTTCAGTGTCAGAGTAGTTAACAGATGGAATGCATTAGGCAGTGATGTGGTGGAGGCTGACTCCATACACAGTTTCAAGTGTAGATATGATAGAGCCCAGTAGGCTCAGGAACCTGTACACCTGTTGATTGACAGTTGAGAGGCGGGACCAAAGAGCTAGAGCTCAAGCCCCGCAAGCACAACTAGGCGAGTACAAATAGGTGAGCACATTGCCCTCTCCCTCACACACTGCCCTCTCCCTCACACACTGCCCTCTCCCTCACACACTGCCCTCTCCCTCACACACTGCCCTCTCCCTCACACACTGCCCTCTCTGTATTGATGTAAAACAACATTTTTTGTCATTTTTTTGTAAATGTTGTAAACACAGCATTGTAAAACAAAAACATTTACATCTGTAAAAGATGTATTGTTGGTAGTTTCCCTCACAGATATATTGACTATACTCACCTAGTTGTGCTGGCGGGGGTTGAGCTTCAGCTCCTTGGTCCCAACTCCTAACCACGTCAGCTGCCTTTGGTGAACATTGAAGGATCAGATTGGTCGAGTAGCCTCGGGTGCCTGGCCCCCAAGCCTCGGGTGCCTGGCCCCCAAGCCTCGGGTGCCTGGCCCCCAAGCCTCGGGTGCCCGCCCCAAGCCTCCGGTGCCTGGCCCCCAAGCCTCGGGTGCCTGGCCCCCAAGCCTCGGGTGCCTGGCCCCCAAGCCTCGGGTGCCTGGCCCCCAAGCCTCGGGTGCCCGCCCCAAGCCTCCGGTGCCTGGCCCCCAAGCCTCGGGTGCCTGGCCCCCAAGCCTCGGGTGCCCGCCCCAAGCCTCGGGTGCCTGGCCCCCAAGCCTCGGGTGCCTGGCCCCCAAGCCTCGGGTGCCTGGCCCCCAAGCCTCGGGTGCCCGGCCCCCAAGCCTCGGGTGCCTGGCCCCCAAGCCTCGGGTGCCCGGCCCCCAAGCCTCGGGTGCCTGGCCCCCAAGCCTCGGGTGCCTGGCCCCCAAGCCTCGGGTGCCCGGCCCCCACGCCTCGGGTGCCTGGCCCCCAAGCCTCGGGTGCCTGGCCCCCAAGCCTCGGGTGCCTGGCCCCCAAGCCTCGGGTGCCTGGCCCCCAAGCCTCGGGTGCCTGGCCCCCAAGCCTCGGGTGCCTGGCCCCCAAGCCTCGGGTGCCTGGCCCCCAAGCCTCGGGTGCCTGGCCCCAAGCCTCGGGTGCCTGGCCCCAAGCCTCGGGTGCCTGGCCAAGCCTCGGGTGCCTGGCCCCAAGCCTCGGGTGCCTGGCCCCCAAGCCTCGGGTGCCTGGCCCCCAAGCCTCGGGTGCCTGGCCCCCAAGCCTCGGGTGCCTGGCCCCCAAGCCTCGGGTGCCTGGCCAAGCCTCGGGTGCCTGGCCCCAAGCCTCGGGTGCCTGGCCCCAAGCCTCGGGTGCCTGGCCAAGCCTCGGGTGCCTGGCCAAGCCTCGGGTGCCTGGCCAAGCCTCGGGTGCCTGGCCAAGCCTCGGGTGCCTGGCCAAGCCTCGGGTGCCTGGCCAAGCCTCGGGTGCCTGGCCAAGCCTCGGGTGCCTGGCCCCAAGCCTCGGGTGCCTGGCCCCAAGCCTCGGGTGCCTGGCCAAGCCTCGGGTGCCTGGCCAAGCCTCGGGTGCCTGGCCAAGCCTCGGGTGCCTGGCCCCAAGCCTCGGGTGCCTGGCCCCCAAGCCTCGGGTGCCTGGCCCCCAAGCCTCGGGTGCCTGGCCCCCAAGCCTCGGGTGCCTGGCCCCCAAGCCTCGGGTGCCTGGCCCCAAGCCTCGGGTGCCTGGCCAAGCCTCGGGTGCCTGGCCCCCAAGCCTCGGGTGCCTGGCCCCCAAGCCTCGGGTGCCTGGCCCCCAAGCCTCGGGTGCCTGGCCCCCAAGCCTCGGGTGCCTGGCCCCCAAGCCTCGGGTGCCTGGCCCCCAAGCCTCGGGTGCCTGGCCCCCAAGCCTCGGGTGCCTGGCCCCCAAGCCTCGGGTGCCTGGCCCCCAAGCCTCGGGTGCCTGGCCAAGCCTGGCCGTCCGTCCTGACCCGTCAGTGTGGCGGAGCTCGACGCCCGGGTGGTCGTGATCAGGCCTCACATCACTCACAGGAACGACCGGTTTCCGGATGATACGTGTTCGCTACAAGAGCCGGATAGCATCGTGGCCGCGCCGATTACATCCGGTTTGCTTTCGTGGCGCGATCTTTAGATCCCGGACCTGTGCCCAGCTGGCCCTTGTTCGAGGCCCGGGACCTGGTCATTGTAGACCGGGGGGAGCTGTTCCCTAACGTGCGTCGAGGCAAAAATGTTAATGGAATTAGTACGTCAAATATCTACCTTGAGGGGTCGTTCCGATGAGTAATTGTCGTTACCCTCCGGACTCCGGCCAGACATCCTGGTTGGTAGTGTGGTCAAGCAGGTTGTTTGATGCCGCTACTTGCTGTCTGGGGTAAGGAATTACAACCCAATTCATCAGGGTATACTTTGAAGGTGTCGATCATGTTCACACCGGAGAATGTTTACGCTTAAACGCCTTCTCTCTCTCACACACGCTGTTCCCAAGCGACGGGCTTTGCTTCTTGCAGGTCGGCGTTCGATTCCCGATGGTCCACATCGTCCCAGGATACTGTCCCAAGACGCTGTCCCCAAGACACTGTCCCAAGACACTGTCCCAGGACACTGTCCCAAGACACTGTCCCAGTACACTGTTCCAGGACACTGTCTCAAGACACCGTACCACCACACTGTCCCAAGACACTGTCCCAAGACATCGTCCCACTACACCGTCCCAGGACACTCCACTTAAGATCAAATTCTTAATCCAACTTTAAATAACCATTTCCCCGCCCCACACCAAGGGCCTCTAACGAGCGTAATGGTCGTTAGTGTCCACCCTTCTCAACTGCTCTCACAATCCTGGGGCCAGATTCACGAAGCAGTTACGCAAGCACTTACGAACCTGTCCATCTTTTCTCAATCTTTGGCGGCTTTGTTTACAATTATTAAACAGTTAATGAGCTCCGAAGCACCAGGAGGCTGTTTATAACAATAACAACAGTTGATTAGCAAGTTTTCATGCTTGTAAACTGTTTAATAAATGTAACCAAAGCCGTCAAAGATTGAGGAAAGATGTACACGTTCGTAAGTACTTGTGTAACTGCTTTAGGGAATCTGTCCCCTGGACAAGGAGAATATATTAGATTTAGATATAAATCTAAATATTTAGATTATATATTAGGCTTACTAAGGCGGCGACGAGTCTTAATTAATCAGTTTATAAAGCTGTGAAGGAATGAACAAATCCACAAGGGCCGTGTCGAGGATTCGAACCTGCGTCCGGGAGCATCCCAGACGCTGCCTTAATCCTAATGGTTTGTTCCCATTACCTATTCAGCCTATTTTCCCCTACACTTGACGTTAAGGTCAATGGGTGATAGTTTGAGGCAGGTGATCTCTCTCTTCAAGATGTATTTTTTTTTTAATTATCATCCATTTCTTAGTGGTTATAAGTGGAGAGGTAAGCAGCAGCTGCCTGGAACCCCGACCTGGCCCCAAGGGGGAGCGCAGGAAGGTCCTGCGGCGGGCTGAGGGCCTAATGTTAGTTCTTCTCACAGACACTCCGTCCAGAAGGCTTGGTCAGAGACCGGGCCCTCGGGGACCAGGAGGCCTGATCAGAGACCGGGCCCTCGAGGACCAGGTAGGCGGGCGTGGTGAGGCTTTACCTGTGTAGTAAACCATTTGGTGACCTCTTCCTTGTTGCTGCTGCCCCGTGACCCTTGTTGCACGGTCCCTGACCCTTGGTGCACGGTCCCTGGCCCTTGTTGCACGGTCCCCGACCCTTGTTGCACGGTCCCTGACCCTTGTTGCACGGTCCCCTGGCCCTTGTTGCACGGTCCCCTGGCCCTTGTTGCACGGTCCCCTGGCCCTTGTTGCACGGTCACTGACCCTTGTTGCACGGTCCCTGGCCCTTGTTGCACGGTCCCTGACCCTTGTTGCACGGTCCCCGACCCTTGTTGCACGGTCCCTGACCCTTGTTGCACGGTCCCCTGGCCCTTGTTGCACGGTCCCCTGGCCCTTGTTGCACGGTCCCTGACCCTTGTTGCACGGTCCCTGGCCCTTGTTGCACGGTCCCCTGGCCCTTGTTGCACGGTCCCCTGGCCCTTGTTGCACGGTCCCCTGGCCCTTGTTGCACGGTCACTGACCCTTGTTGCACGGTCCCTGGCCCTTGTTGCACGGTCCCTGACCCTTGTTGCACGGTCCCCGACCCTTGTTGCACGGTCCCTGACCCTTGTTGCACGGTCCCTGACCATTGTTGCACGGTCCCCTGGCCCTTGTTGCACGGTCCCTGACCCTTGTTGCACGGTCCCTGGCCCTTGTTGCACGGTCCCCTGGCCCTTGTTGCCCGGTCCCCTGACCCTTGTTGCACGGTCCCTGACCCTTGTTGCACGGTCCCCTGGCCCTTGTTGCCCGGTCCCTGACCCTTGTTGCACGGTCCCCTGGCCCTTGTTGCACGGACCCCTGGCCCTTGTTGCACGGTCCCCTGGCCCTTGTTGCACGGTCCCCTGGCCCTTGTTGCACGGTCCCTGACCATTGTTGCACGGTCCCTGACCCTTGTTGCACGGTCCCCTGGCCCTTGTTGCACGGTCCCTGACCCTTGTTGCACGGTCCCCGACCCTTGTTGCACGGTCCCCTGGCCCTTGTTGCACGGTCCCCTGGCCCTTGTTGCACGGTCCCTGACCCTTGTTGCACGGTCCCTGACCCTTGTTGCACGGTCCCCTGGCCCTTGTTGCACGGTCCCCTGGCCCTTGTTGCACGGTCCCCTGGCCCTTGTTGCACGGTCCCCTGGCCCTTGTTGCACGGTCCCCTGGCCCTTGTTGCACGGTCCCCGACCCTTGTTGCACGGTCCCCTGGCCCTTGTTGCCCGGTCCCCTGGCCCTTGTTGCACGGTCCCCTGGCCCTTGTTGCACGGTCCCCTGGCCCTTGTTGCACGGTCCCCGACCCTTGTTGCACGGTCCCCTGGCCCTTGTTGCCCGGTCCCCTGGCCCTTGTTGCACGGTCCCCTGGCCCTTGTTGCACGGTCCCCTGACCCTTGTTGCACGGTCCCCTGGCCCTTGTTGCACGGTCCCCTGGCCCTTGTTGCACGGTCCCCTGACCCTTGTTGCATGGTCCCCTGACCATTGTTGCACGGCCCCCGACCCTTGTTGCACGGCCCCTGACCATTGTTGCCCGGTCCCCTGACCATTGTTGCACGGCCCCTGACCCTTGTTGCATGGTCCCCTGACCATTGTTGCACGGCCTCCGACCCTTGTTGCACGGTCCCTGGCCATTGTTGCCCGGTCCCTTCCCCTTGTTGCACGGTCCCTGACCCTTGTTGCCCGGTCCCTGGCCCTTGTTGCACGGTCCCTGACCCTTGTTGCACGGCCCCTGACCCTTGTTGCACGGTCCCTGACCCTTGTTGCACGGCCCCTGACCCTTGTTGCACGGTCCCTGACCCTTGTTGCACGGCCCCTGACCCTTGTTGCACGGTCCCTGACCCTTGTTGCACGGTCCCTGACCCTTGTTGCACGGCCCCTGACCATTGTTGCACGGTCCCTGACCATTGTTGCACGGCCCCTGACCATTGTTGCACGGTCCCTGACCATTGTTGCACGGCCCCTGACCATTGTTGCACGGTCCCTGACCATTGTTGCACGGTCCCTGACCATTGTTGCCCGCTCCTCCTATGAGCAATGGACTCTTAGGACTTTCAACAATAATTCTGTAATGTTTATTTAAATATGTTAATGCACACAGATAGCGATCTATCGTGATATCGTAATTGCACCCGTCACCCCCTTAACGATGCATTAGATATTGTATATGCAATATTGTATGATAGAGCGCCTGCATAACGAATACAATCGCAACAAGAGCGGTAAACGTTGTAGACAATATGGCGGCCTGGAGGGATTTATTTGTCGGACAGATGTAAACATGTTTTGGAAGCCCTCTTAAGGCTGTGTCTTGGTGGAGGGATTACTGTGATGTTGCGGGTGGGGGAGGGAGGGATTACTGTGATGTTGCTGGTGGGAGAGGGTGGGATTACTGTGATGTTGCTGGTGGGGGAGGGAGGGATTACTGTGATGTTGCTGGTGGGGGAGGGAGGGATTACTGTGATGTTGCTGGTGGGGGAGGGAGGGATTACTGTGATGTTGCTGGTGGGGGAGGGAGGGATTACTGTGATGTTGGTGGTGGGGGAGGGAGGGATTACTGTGATGTTGGTGGTGGGGGAGGGAGGGATTACTGTGATGTTGCTGGTGGGAGAGGGAGGGATTACTGTGATGTTGCTGGTGGGGAGGGAGGGATTACTGTGATGCCGCTAAATAAGTGATGATCTCTTCCTGTGTGTGTGTGTGTGTGTGTGTGTGTGTGTGTGTGTACGTACTCACCTAGTTGTACTCACCTAGTTGTGTTTGCGGGGGCTGATCTCTGGCTCTTTGGTCATGCCTCTCAACTGTCAATCAACTGATGTAGATATGATGTACATCAGGAACTGTACATTTGAAACTGTATAGAGTCAGCCTCCACCACATCACTGCCTAATGCATTCCATTTGTCAACCACTCTGACACTAAAAACGTTCTCTAATATCTCTGTGGTTCATTTGTGTTACGGCCCTACTGGGGCGTAACTGGGTTCTTTTCTGGTGTTATTAGAATTTGGGAATCCGGCCCCAAGCTAGTAGAGGCTTTCAAGGGATGTGTTCCGTAACGCAAGCTAAATTAAAGGGGTGAGGGATACAATTGTTCTGATTTATATATATATTATTTTACCACCACCATAAATAAATATATAACAGTCACACGGGGGTTATAACTACACGAAAATATACAGGGTTGTCTTCCTCTGAAGACACAGGATACTCCACGGTGCGCACTTTGAGTAGCCCTGGTTCCTTCCTCCGTGGCCCACGATGAATCTTCTTGGCTTCTCTCGGCGAATCTACCCTGGCCACAGGCCAGCCAAATCACAGTCCCACTGGGTGCACCGTCGTGGAGGCCTTCAACC